AAAAAACACCCAAACATTTGTAATTTCAGAGTTTATTTCTTGATTCATAATGATCAAAGACAGTCAGTTTTCAATCACAAATCTGGCCAATAAATAAATAAATACTGTCATGAAGTTGCAGACAAACACCATAACAGCAAAACAAAAACTGGAGTCCAATGTTTTTACCTGTAGCTCTATCCAACAAGGCAATTCTTTTCTTTGTCCATTGGCTATTACACGGCGCAGCTTCTCGGTACAATATGCTCCGTAACCATCTGGCCCTCTGCGGACAAAATTCTCCAAACACTGTGGAACAGAGTAGAACAGATTTGGGCAACATAATGATGTGTGACCAATTCTGATGAAACAGGGAAAAGCCCAGTTTCATTCAGGAGAGATGGCAGTTACCAAAAAGCAAAACATTAGTGTGGACGTCTGTGAATGCAGTAATACTGGGAATTATAACAAAATACAGCTTATATTTACAGTGTAAGTGTCACCAGATCCTTGGGGTGTTCCTTTAAACACAAATTCAGTGGATTCAGAAAGTATGCAGAGCGCTTCATTGTAAATGGATAAAATTTCCATTTTTACACTCAACAACCCATAATAACAAAGTGAAAACATATTCTTTGGAAATGTATCAAAAATTAAAAACAGAAAACTCTAATTTCCATAAGTATTCAGACCCTTAATGCAGTACTTTGTAGAAGCCCATTTGGCAGCTGTAACAGCTTCAGTCTGCACCAACTTTGCTTTGGGCAGTTTGTCTCGTGCTTCCTGGCGGACCCTGTCAAGCTCCATCAGACTGGATGGGAAATGTGAACTGCCATCTCTGCGGATGTTTTGTGGGGTCTAAGTCTGGACTTTGTCTGGGCTACACAAGGATGAATAGAGAGGTTTTATCACAGATGTCTGCCCACAGCTCCTCAGACTTCGTGGCTTGGTCTTTTTTCCTGACATACAGGTGTGTGCCTTTCTAAACTAAAACAAAACAATTCAGTTTGCTTCAGGTGAACTCAAGTCATATTCTAGATAATTGTCAAGGAGAATTAAAGCAAAGCAGGATACATCTGACCACAGTCTGGAGTCCCACAGCAAAGGTCCGAATAAACCTACAGATGACGGAGTTCAGCTTTTGATTTTCAATAATTTTATAAAAGTTTTAAAAACATGTTTTCACTTTGCCATTATGGGCTACTGAGTGTAGACTGGTAAAAGTGGTACTTTTATCCATTCAAATTTACACCTACAACAAAAAATTGTGCAAAAACTGAAGGGGTCTGAATACTTTCTGAAGCAAATGTAAATTTTAACTTAGAAAAGTTTTAGTTTTTACCATGTTTTTGATCCCATCTAATTTTACCACAGTACTTGGATCATATCCGTACACTGGGTGGGCATGAACTAATAGATGAAGTAACACTGTTTATTATCAAACACTGTTCATCATCCCTTGGCAATTATTTCTGATAACAGTAACTGCTGACAGAGCTTCATGGACATTTTGCTATTAGCAGAGGACTACCGCAGGAAACTGGCACTGTTCTCCAAGCAGCCAACAGGCAGACACGGACAAGTCTGATGTCTATAGTTTAATGACAAACTGCATTACTGAATGTGCTGCAGACTGACCTTCATGAAGAGGTCGGTTGGGGGGAAGATCCCAAGACAAATGGAGAGAAGGGTCCAGCCCTGCATACGGCTGCTCCTGTTCCTGTTGTTCACCAGCTGTTTGCAGATCTGACAGTAAATCTCATCCCTGCACAGGTTGCGTTAAACAAAACAGTTACAATATGAAAATAAACTGAGCAATGAATGCAAAAACATTTAAGAGACATAAAGGGTGCATGAAATGTGGTTGAATGTATTTTAAAATGAAAATGACAAATACTGGAATGATATAATAAATATGTTTTAAAGCTGCTTTCAAAATACAAGTGTGGGCAAGTCTCTTTTCTTCTGTGACATTTCCATCTCCACTGTATGTGTACATAGTAGCTGTGCATCTATATTTGTTTTCCACTGTCACGTGAAGAACTGTCCCATGTTTACCGTATGTCCTGTCTTGACAGAGCATAGCCAGTGATAATGTGCAGTTTTTCCAGGGATGACATCGGCCGATCCAGCATTGGACCTTCTCCTATCATGATGTCCCCATCTTCTGTCACATTCTCTGGCTGGTTGAAATGAAAACAACAAGAATCCTCATCAGCTGTACACATTATGCAACACAGAAATAATAATTGAATGACATAAGTGCTGACCTCCTCAGGAATAGCAGAGGCTCTTCTGTTGCCACCAAGTTTTTTCTTGTTCTTCCTCATTTTCTGCTCAGAAAAGACATGATAATTCAAAGTATGAGTAACAACTGATGTTTTTCCTCTATTCTTCTCAGTACACAAGATTGGAAATTGAGCTTTTTGAAAAAGTTTACCTCGTCCAGTCCCACCAGGTGGCTCAGCCTCCTGCCCTGCCTTTGAGGTAGATGACGTGAGCTGTTGCTGGACACTTCAGACACTGCCACAGATTTTGGTTCTGGTATGTCCCCCATAAACCGCAAAATAATCCACCATACAGTCAGACAGGCCTGGAGGAGTGGGAAGAGAAAGTAAGCATAAAAGAAGATGTTTGGAGTGGACAGTAAAAAAAACCAAACAAAAAAAACAAGTCATGTCTCTTTTTTCTCTGTCCACTCACCAGTGCATCACCCTCATCATCATGGGGCAGAAGAGAATGCTGGAGTCTCTGGGTGATGTGCGTGTGGGTAGCGTTGCCCTGGAAGTGAAGGGTGCTGAACTTGTAGAATGAAAACTCATCGCCGTCATCATCAAACTCGTCATCTTCCTCTTCCAGCGACAAGCTAGAAGTTGCTGATGCCAAGGCTGGAGCGATGATTTCCGAGTCCAGCTCTGAGGTATCAACTGAGGTGCTCTGTATCTTCTTGACAGTCAGTTTAAAGAATTTAAATCAGAGATGAAGTCAGTAAAGTAATAATTTTAGATAAAATGTAAGATGTATAAATGTCAACATGGTTAGCACATTAAACAACAGAATTAGTACCGAAGCTAACCTCAAAGTCGTCTGATTCAGATGTTTTTTGTTCCACTACTTCTAGAAAAGGTGCAGGCTCGAGATTGCACGAGTTCGTCTCTGAATCCTGTTCAGTGATTGGCTCAGGTTCCTCATCAGCTTGCTGTGCGTGGGCAATAACTTCTTCTAGTCGTTGCTGAAGCTCAAAAGCTATTTGGTCATGGTTCTGTTCCTCCAGGCATAAAGCTAAGGCCTGAGATGGGGTTTGGAGGAGAGAGGAGAGAGACAGAGGAGCTGAAACAGTGGTCGTATTCAAGATACAACACCCCACACCTATTCCGTGACATTTATTATAATACAGTGTTATTTCCAGGGTTAAGACTTTCAGCACTTACATCATTTCTCCTTTTTACAGCTGCCCTTCTGGCCAGAAGTCCTTTAGTGCAAGCCTGCAACAGCACGATTGCCTCTCTCTTTTGCTTGCTTTCCTTTCTTGCCCAGTAGCCTCGTACCTATGGTTTAATGAGCTCATTATTAATGTTTTTGTGATGTAAACTGACCTAATACAGAGTAGTTTTTGCTTCTCTATAGCAGACTAGGTGTGCAATTTAAAATACATTTTAAATATATTAAAAAACTACTAACATTGACTTCAATCTCAAAACTGCCAAAAAAATTGCATTAAGTTAAAAATGCAGTCAAAACACATCAACAACATATGGAAAGAATTTTAAAAAATGTAAAACTTATTTAAATTTTAGAACTTATAATATAAAACATCAATTATCTAAAAAAAATTCCCAGTGTACTGTCATTCAATATATTTAAACGTTTACAATATACTAATGTATCTCATATTAATAAATTATGCTAAATTAATTTGACACACTATATGTTATTAAACATATGTTCACAATACAGTGTCTATATTAACATTTAACCTGGGATATTCAAAAATTAACAAAGACATTGTTAGAGAAGGTTAGAGAAGCGAGCTTGTAGCTGGAAACCCCTGACCAGCATTATTAAATCTGGGTGGAACAGGTGACAAACACTACTGTGGTGCTCTTGAGCAAGGCCCTTAAACGCAACTGCTCCAGTGGAGCTGCTCAGTGGCCATAGGTCACTGGGGGTGAATGTGTACAGTAACTGTCCCTGAAAAGAGAGGTGGCCTCTCAGTGGACCTACCCTGAATAAATAAAGGTTAAAAAAAAGGATTACAAGTTAAACGCCATGTGTACGGTACATGCCTGCGTCTGTATGGTGAGTGCTGCTGCCCGCTGTCTTTGGTAATGTGACTGGAGCTTCCGACCACGGACCTTTGACACCAGCCGTTCACAGCCATGCTTGAGCTAGTCAGAGAGGAAACAAAGGACTAGGTGACTGGACCTGAGATTAGTCTCTTATAAGTCACGTCAGATACAAACTCTGAGTTCTAGAAAAGGTTATCAAACCTTTTTATATGCTCTGAAAGCTCTCCAGTGCTGCTGCAACACCACGGCTGCCCTTCGCTTCTTCAGAAAAGACTTTCTAGAAAAAAGGCAAAGCAAAGTCTTTAAGAAATAAATAGATTAAAACCAGAGATCAAACACTGTACATACACCATTTCTTTGTCTTTTTCACAGTATTTGATCTTGCCAATAAATTAAAAGTACCTGTAGGTGCAGTATAATAATACCCATACCTTTTATTGCAGGTTCAGATAAGGTTATGTACACATGACAACATTCAATTCTCAGTTCATGTCATCTATCTCATTTCCTCTTTACTCTTCTTTGAAACTGCACCTGTCTTTGTATCCCAGCATTACCCTCTGGATCACCACCGCCACCCGGCTGAGCTCTTGTTCCCTCGCTTGTTCCAGGACTGCATCGTGGGCATCCTGAAATTATTATAAAAATATAAAAAATTACTATTTATCCAGTAAATCCTTGCAGTAAGATTCCATAACATTCCAAGCTTGTCATCCAAGTCTAAACTAAACTAAATCTGGCAACTGCAGCAAACAGCACAAACCATAAGAGAGAGACCGTAATGTCAGCAGTGGGCGCTACATGTTGGTCTACTTAATAATACTCATACTGCAGTACCAGTTACTGCTGTTTACTGTTAATCTGAAGGGATGTTCTGCTGCATTCACCACATCTTCTATCTTGAGAAAAGCTCTGGTATCACATGGTGTGAATAATCATTTGTCTGCACCTTCAGGAAAATCTTGGTCCTGCCTAGTTTCCACTCGTCCTCTCCTTTAATCACTGTCTTGCAGATGGCTTCACAACAGGCAGCAGCTGTCTCCTGGAGAGACAGCAAGCTATTTATCTCAGTGCTGAAGAAAGTCTTCTCCAGGGGAGAAACCAGAGAAAGTCATTCCTCCACCTGACCATCATAATGTTATTTACTGTAGAAGTATCAGGTTCCACAAATATAACAGTGATTTTATGAAAATAACAGTCAAGAATATTCAGACTACATCATGACTAACAGTTCTGGGGTCACAGACGGTCGTCTTCAGGAGCACCCTGTAACGCCTCAGGAATTCCACAAAGGTGTGACGAATTGGGTATCCAAGTTTACGGATGCGGATGGTGTCCATCATGCCAGAGTATCTCAGCTGACGCATACACAGCTCTCGGTCAAACACCTAGAGGGGATTGGATTAAGGTTATTGTGGCCTGAGTAGATTTTTATCCACATCCTTCACAACAACAGCTAAATGACTATAAGTCCACTGTTTTGTTAGCATCATTGTTACTGTTATTTGCAGGCAGCGGTATGCAAACATGCTTATGTTTAGCAGATGTTTACAGTCTTAGCTTGGCCTGTTATGATGCTAACATTTAGCGCCACAAGTTACAGCTAAAACTAAGGGGAATGTCACTGGTTTTGCTGGTTTTTGGTTATAAAACCTGATGATGAAAAGTTAAAGGATCCTTCACCCTGAAGGAACATGAATGTTTATATCAATTTAATGTCAATCCATCCAGTATTGTCATGATACTTCAATTACAACTGCAAATATCAACCTCATGGTGGCTCTAGAAGAAAGTCAGAAGATCATGAAGTCATTAGGATTCATCCCCTAGGAACCATGAATATCTGTACCAAAATTTCTGCCAATCCATCAAGTAGATGTTGAGATATTTCACAGAATAAATAAAATATTTGACCTGATGAAGGCATCATAAGAAAAGGGGATCAACAAAATAATAGTAGAAGAATTTATCCTCTAAGGATCATGAATATCTGAATGAAAAATTCATGACAATCCACCCAGTAGCTGTTGAAATATTTCAATGTGGACCAACCAAGCAACATCACCATCGATAGAGCCAACATGTAAAAAAAAAAACAATAATCACAAAAGTGAAATTATACTAAATTAAAACAGTGATTAAAGTTTCTCAGTCTCTACCCCACCACTGTACTTTACACTGTGTCTTATATTTCCCAGGAAATGTGCTCATTTGCTTTATAGCACAGCATCTGGAGAGGTAGTTGTTTATCCAGTTTAAAGGTCATCGGTACTGGGTGAGAGACAGATTGGAAAGATTCACTTTGTCATTATCAGTTAAAACAAAGGGAAACGAAACAGATGCAGACAGAGAAGAAAACTCAGAGTCGAATCTTCATCAGTTCTTTCAGGAAACAACAGGAATTAGGAGTAATGTCTTCATTTTGGTTAACACCTGCACAAACACTGCTACAATGTTTGCGTCAGATAGAGTTTACCTACCTACAGTATGTTTCACCTCTTATCTCATTTGTTTATTGTATGCTCAGTGATAGTTAGTGACTCAGCAAACATTTTGTGTTATACTGCAGTCACTCACTTCAGACTGCTTGTCGTTGTTGGGTTTGAAGCAGCGGATGAAGAAAGGCTGGCAGACGGACAGAGCCTTCATGAGGGAGTCCAGAGACTGACGGAACTGACCGCTCAGCGTTGGCACTTGTTTACGGTTGTTGGTCTGTGCCTGCACACGTGACAGAGAGGAAATTAAAATCATGTGGCAACTCATATTGATGAGGTATCACATCAAATAATGTTCTGCTGTATTGTTTTCAATGCATTACATGACCCAGATGACTTACACATTGTTAGTTTCAGATTTAATTTAGATTTTACATAACATCCAAACGTTTTTTTGATTTGGGGTTGTAGGAATCTAGAAATGTATTTTGAAAATATTCTTTTCATAAATAAGTGAAATGTGATGAGCGTAGCAGTATGAATGTCAGTGACATGCTGATGAAGCTAAAGTTTCATACCCGTAGAGAGCTCTTAGGTGTTATCATGACCCTCTTGTTGTTTGCCATCTTCACTGGATTGTTTGAAAGCTCATTTTCAAATATCTGACGAAGCAGTTTGTTAGTGGACATGTCAACAGTCTTGATTATGTCAAAACTCACTGCATCTCGGTTCTTTTCCAGGAAACCTTACCGAAAAAAAAAAAAAAAGGAACATGACTGTCTTCATGTAGAACATTTAAGCTTCAGTCGGACTAATTTCACTGCATTTGTGTACCTTTGGAGTTGTAGTAAACCACGCCTGCAAAGTGGCAAATCCCAAAGTCTGTGTCATGTTCACTTCTTGAGGCCAGGTAGTTCTTGTTTCCACTGTGTTGCTGGTTCATCTTGTTCAGCAAAGTCACATCCGAGCCCTGTGACCAACCAAACAATACTTTGAATTCAAAACAAGTAAAAAACATTTCACTTTCTTCAAAGTGTTTACAATAAAATGATTGAGGACAAGCACTGAAGTACAGCTCTACCTTTGGAAAGTGGCTCTCCTCATCAATCAGTGCCAGCAGGTTACAGGTTTTCCCAGCCAGAAGGTCCAGGATGTTCTGGTTGTCACTAAATTTGATGTTATTCCATACAATGTCCTCTTTCAGGTACTCCTCCTGCTCCAGCTTGAAGATGTGTCGCACAAAGAACTGTTGCAGCTTCTCATTGGCAAAATTAATGCACAGCTGCTCAAAACTGTAAAACGACACAATGATATTCATTTGAAGTAGCTGCAGAGTTGTGATATGTTGAAGAGTGTGTGGCAAAATGTCACCACCTGTTTGTGTGGAAATTCTCAAAGCCGAAGATGTCAAGCAAGCCGATGGACAGATAGCTGGATTTAGGGGTGTTGGTCAACTTCTTATAGATGACACTGTTGATTTTCCCAACGATCCATATGAACAGCTTATCATAGATTGCCTGAGAGATCAGCTGCATGTTAGAACGCTCTAAGAACAAGTAATCAGTCAAACAAAACTGCAATATCAGTTTTTATGTTTGAAAACTCTGGTTGCACTTTTCTCTTTTAGATGTGTGTAACCACATGAATGTTGCTAAGTGCAAGTATTCAATTATTCTCTCTACATTTAAAGGTTAAATGTTGAATTGAGACACTTCCTTATATAATACAGTATGCAACACTTACAAGGTAATGTTTCTTTTCATCCAAGTTCAGGATCCAGTTAGAAAATACAAGCCATATTGTTTTACCATCACTGGCTCAGCTTCATTACCTTGACAAAGGCGTCTCTACAGTCAGAGGCCTGCTCGGGGCTCAGGGGTTTAGTAATCCTCTCTTTGTTGGTCATAAACGAACGGTGGGTCAAACTCTTCGCCAGGGAAGACTTCTGGACCTGCAGGAAACACACAGCGGTGAAACAGGTTCAGGTTTATTCAATCTCCTTTTCATAACTTGGTGTAAAAACAGAGTCAAGAATGTGCCCACCTTTAGTAGCAATGCTGCCATGCTGAAATGTTCTGACTTGCTGACATCACTGGTCTCCAAGTTGTTTTGTGTGGTGGCTGATGGGAATGTAAGAGAAAATATAACTACGCAAGAATAGTAACTCATTGTGTTGTTGTCAGTTATAGTTAGTTAGAAATTATGTATGTGTGTAAAATACAACACACTACTTTCAGTCAATTTATCCAACAGTATATGAGAAACAGGATCTCACTGCAGTAGTTGGTTGAATTGGGTGTAAAGATGTAATCTTTGACTATTTTGTACAGGACTGCAACTAAATATTCTTTTACAATGTATTATTTTCTTGATGAATCGACTGTTTATTCTGTAAGATTCTGAAAATAGTTTAAAATACTATCACTATTATGCATAGCCTAAAGGAGTTACACCCACCCCCATCACCATACACGTCATTTACTGGCTTAACTTCAGGTCCCAACAGCACTGTCACACCTTTACAATACTTGTTTTCTCCAAAGCCCAAATTACTTAAAATAAGTTCAAATTATTAAAATAATTAAAAGGAAAAGCAACAATATTCCTTCTACCCCTGGTTATACCAATTATGTTTTGCGGTGTTTGCTTGCTTCCAGTGGCATAGATTAGAGTACAGATATACTGTAGCACTGTTGCACAAGCAATACAGATGTTTGTATACTCACCCTCGAAGGAGACGTTTCCCAGGTGTAATATGGCGGCCAGCAGCTGGAGGATTTCCTCACACTGGCTGTCTGAGAAGGTCAGGATTTTCATGGCAGAACGAATACGGCCGTAGTCTTTGACATCATCCCTGCCCTCACACAAGATGCAGTCACCCTAAAAACAAGAGAAGACTTAGATTATTTACAGTGGGCAGACAATATGCAACATTTAGAATAATGTGAAAAAGGATTAAAACTTTATTATAAACACAGTGACTGGGGGTCCATAGAAGAAAATAAAGAAATACATTAAGTACTAAATACAATAAATAAAAAAATCTGATAAAAGACAGGTGAGAAAAAAAATTATGCAAAAATATAAAATTAAAAGAAACAGAGAAGGGGTAAACTCATTCATCTGGCAATTGTGTTGGAACTCCAATGTTTTCTCAGTTTAGATGCCATCCATACTGAACTCAATTAACTAGTTATAACTAAAATAACATGTTTATTTTGACACATTTACTGCAATTTTTCCTAACATAAGAGGTTTCAAGGCGCCACAGCTACAGCATTTAATTATTTATTCAAGAAACAAAATTATAACTAAAGCAAGAAGTTAACTGACCTAGCATGTACAGTAGCCAGTGTTGTGCTGCGTGATTTATTGTGTAATTTAAGTCTGTAAATGGCTCCTGTACCTTAGTGAGGAATCTATACTCCTTTGCATCTCGGAGGCTCAGAGTTTTCTTCTCCTGTGATGTTATTCCTGCCAGCATGCAGTAAAATATGTGGTAGTTTCTCTCCTGCAGTGCCTGAAGGTGTGGAGGAAACAAGAACTGTTGTTACATAAAGATAAACTTCAGGTGATGGAAAGGTGCCACTTTGGATGTAAACAAACACAGACAAATGAATGTCTCACATGGCCTCAGTATTTGTACTAACCATTATGGTGACTGATAGAGGGCAACCTGAAGGGTCTATTTTCTCCACAGGTCACAGAGACCTTTTCCCAGTTAAAACTCTAACAGTATGTTTGTATAAACAGTCCTGGCTGGAACTGATAATTCATTGTGCTTTTATAGTTTTACAGTACAGCCCCGCCCTCTGGTCAGATAAGAGAAACCAGATTTGTGTGGACAGAGCTGCCTCACCTGATGACACACGCGAGACTTTTCCAGAAGATACTGTTCCACACGAGCACCTTCAATCACCCCGTGCTTATTGAAGAAGATCTCCAAGTATTTCCCAAAGCGACTGGAGTTGTCATTGCGGATTGTTTTAGCATTTCCAAAAGCTGAATGAGACAGAACAGGGATGCTTTTTAAATCTAGGGTCCAGAGACAATTTATTCCCGTTATCTGATGTAGGCTTGAGAAATGAACACGTCTCTGCATGTTTAAATAGTCAGCTGAAGTACAGCTGTGTACAGCTGGGTTGTCCAAATACCTTCCAGTATTGGGTTTGACTCCAGGAGCTGCTGTTCAATCTGTTGCTCAGAGAGCTCCCCGCTGACTGCTGCCAAGTACTGCAGGATCAGCTTCGTGCTCTCTGTTTTCCCTGCTCCGGACTCCCCGCTGAGAGAAGGAGAGAATACATGGCAAGCAGTGACACAGCATTTATTCTCTTCAGCAGTGACTACACACACATTTAACAGACCACCATGACTTTTTCAGCCAGTTACTCATCCCAACCTGATGATGCAGCACTGGTTATTGTGATGACGCCTCATGTTAAAGTAGCAGGATTCAGCGATGGCAAAGATGTGCGGCGGGAGTTCCCCAAGTTTTCGACCTTGGTACAACTTCACCTGAAGGACAACAGGATACACACAAAACACTTCACTACAAAGCTTTAGTAAAGATATGCCTGCTTAAGGTTGGAGGAATAATGATTATGAATGTTGATACAAGCTGTCAATTGTACACAGTCTCACCTGGTCAGATGAATACATTGGAAAATCCTGGTATGGGTTCACTGCCACCAGCACTGAGCCTGTGTAGGTCTACAGTAGGAGACAAATGTTTGGGTAAGAATGTCTGCTTAAGTTTCCATCTTATGTCATTCAACCCAGTGTTAGGTTGTTTTTTTTAAATGATACTGTTTGTAAAACACCACAAACATTTTCCTTCTTACTCCTGGTGACAGCAAGCCATTCGGCTAACTTCATTTCTATTTCACCAGGTTTTAAATGATCAGCCTCTGAGATTTTGTGCTCCTGAACCACCCTGATACCATGGAGGTAATGCATATTTGTTAGTTGTGCACAAAGCAGTGAAAGAAGACCAATGCAGCAACACGCTGATCTGGGAACAGTGTTTTGGTTGAGGATAATTTCTGACCACATTGCACAAAAATATACCCTAAGACAAGGTCCATTTATTATTGCTTTATTTAGAGCTTTCTTCTTCATCTCACAGGCTCACTCAGCTGAGAAAGTTGAAATTTGTAAGTGATTTGTAATAAACCACAGACCAGTTTTATAGAACTATATTCTGCTGAAGTAAAAGATAGAAATGATGTTCCACAGTAAGGTTTGTGAATAACCCTGAGGGAGAGAGAAGCTGTTGCTAGAAAGACACTTGGCTATTGTGAAAACTTCAAATGTCAGTTTTCAATATTTCCCACAAATGTAATTTAATTGACCTCCAATGTATTGACGTGGAGGTGGGAAAGCTCAGTTATCTAAAAATCTCATATAAAACCCAAACAATCTGCAAGGCTTTATTGATTCCATTTGGTGTAAGAGGGGGAACTAGGGGTTTACGTTTAGCAGTAGTTTGCCAAAATGTCACTGGTTGTCCGTGCAAACAATGCTTCGATCAAGCGGCCCTGCTTCATCATTTTGCTCAAGATCCTGCCACTTTTGACATGAAATATCACAGAAAAACTGCATTGGCAAACATTTTTCACGCTCAGACGAATATGGTTTGTGCATTACACATGCGCCTTACATAGATGAGTCCTTGTTTGTGTCTGAGCAGCAGGTTTCGCAGGAGTCCGGCCTCATTCATGTCCCCCAGTTTGATCATGTCCTCCACACCCTCCACTGACGTAGGGTGCATGATCCTGAGAGAGGCTTCCTGCTCCTTAGACAGACTCTGCTCCTGGAAGAGGTCCAAGTAGGAAATAAAACTACAAGTTTAAATTTGACCAACACATTATAACTCTGCTGTATAACTATCCAGGAAAGGGTGTTTACCTTCCCATCATCGTCCACCAGTAACCTCTGACCAGATGGTGTCACTTTGACCCTGGCTCCAATGGGTACCCCGATGTCTGAGTCTACCCACACCCACTCCCCCTGAAAACACAGATATAATTATTAAATCCACTACCATAGTTTACTCATTGTCCTTCAGAATACAGGCTTTATGAATGTATTACCTTTATCAGTTTACAGTATGTCCTTGAATGAATAACAGGAGAAAGCTGCCTCTCTGTCCATGAATGAATGATTTACAGTATATATGCCGTAATGCTTTCTGGTAAGGAATATTCTTATATATAAAATCCATGTTCACATCTCCAGTCAGTACTGAAGGACTTTTTTTCAGGCTTACCTTTCGCAACATCACCAATTTGCAATGTTCCTTCTCCCTAAACAAAGAAATCCATATGATGAGTTGTAATTCCCAAAAACTGGCAAGTGAATGGCTCCATCACGTCATGTTCAGGTACATTATCAGGTTATCAGCGATGGAAACAACTTAAACTGAAGGTTTTCTACAGTTCAGTAAATCTAACAAAGCCCACTGCTGTGCTCAGTGCTGCTAGCTAAGGTGTACATGGATGACAGAATAACAAAGCATTTACTGTAACAATCATTTACAAAACAATCAAGAGGTCTACTTAAAAATCCTCTGACCAGTGATTTTCATTGAAGCCCCACTCTTTGAGCCTGAGATAGAGCTGCCGTTTGCCTCGAGTCTTCTTGAATCTGTCCCAGTATAAGGAGGGAGAAGGTTATGCTCTGACTGGCAAACTGATTTTATGGCACTTGGACTTTGAACCAGCTCTGATAGAAAGAGAGAGGAACAGAAACTGATCATATCTACTGTATGTGGTCATCAACATAAAAGTGTCTTCCTGGCCACGTTCATCGCATTGAGGCGTTTCAGGAAGCATTTGCAACTAAAAATGAACTCTTGCAGTATTAGTTATAACTTTAACTCATTTGCTGTATATAGTGGAGATGTTTTAATGAATTTATATGCAGCCTTTAGAGCCTGTGGCTGTGTAAATCAGAGGAGACAATTCTGTGCATCAATTCAATTCAGTTCAATTTTATTTGTATAGCACCAAACCAAAAGTCGTCTCAGGACACTTTACAAAGTAAGGTCTAGACCTTTACTATTATTATTATTGTAGAGAAAGACCCAACAAATCCCCTTTGAGCAGCATTTGGAGACAATGGGGAGGAAAAACACCCTAGTCTTAGGTGAAGGGTAAATGGAAAATAATACTACCGGTATGTATTTGTACTTTAGCTTTGTGTTTTCTGTCCTCCCAGACACTACACACACAATTCCTAAACATCTACACACACACACACACACAATTCTTAAACATCCACACACACACACACACACAGCCTGTTACCTACACAGTTTAATTGTATGGTCGCATACCTAAGACACTTCTCTGAGCGATAGCGGACTGGTGTGTTACAAAACCTGCTATTCTTTTTCTTGGTCACTCACTGCATGACATTCTATATGACTGACTGAAGTTTCTATATGACTGACTTGCAAGAAATACGTTGTGTAAAATACACAAAGGCAACTTGGTTGTACACTCTTTATTTTTCCAGACTCATTTTAAAATGTCAACACAAATGAGTGGTTAGAGGAGAGAGAAAAGAAAAGAACAACAACAAGACACAACAAACACAGACCCGCTCTGGCCCCAGGAAAACATTTGACTATGGCCACTGTTGTCTCTAGCTTCACATTTCTGACTATGGAGTCGCCAAAAACCAGTGTCTACGGCAAGCTCTCGAGCTCAGCAGGCGTGCGTGCTAACACCCACACAAAGCAATATGGAAAGCCATCGTGCTCAGTGGGTGAAGTGCAGAGGCGTATGCTAGGACTCAAAAATGTTGTTGATGTTCAGATAAACCTAGTAATCAGTGAGCTTAATCCTTAAACAAGCACAGCAAACACTGAGTGAATATGCTTACCACAGGAACCTCAGTCCCTTCTTGTCATTGATTGCATCACACAGACTGTCACTGCAATAAAGATGTAAATATGAGATAGAGCTAATCATCCTTCACATTAGGAAGGGGCAAAAATCTCTCACACCAGCCACAGCCTTATTTTGCATAATTAGACTGCAGGTCTTCCACTGTCAGTAAAAAGCTGTAACAAAATTCTCTAAAGTGCACAATTCACTGTCAGTTTCATATCAGGTTAAAAGTTGCACTTCAAGCCTCAAGAGAAATCTTCCTGTAGCAGGATAATATGAGTTATCTGTACTACTATAAAATGAAAGTCATTAAATGGTGTGAGTCTAAAGTTTAAAGACAGAACAGTATACTTGGCTAAGATGGAACTCACTGCTGGTTCCTCACTGGCGTCAGTCTGTTCAGCTCTGATAAGGAATTCCCTGCAAGGAAGTCAAAATGGTAAAATAAAAACTAGTGAACAGAACTTCTTCACTTCAGCTCAATGTGCTACTGGGCAACGTCCCAAAGGAAGGTCAGCTTGACGCTGTGTGCAGTGGAAAATGTTCTTAATTAAAGCTTACCAGTTTTTGATGTTGGATACAAAGATTAACATCCTGTCTGAATTCACCAGCCTGATGTTTGACTTCTTTCTTAATAACACTAGGGAATTATGTCAAAATTGATAAACACCAGGCAGTTTTATTTTAAAGTGACTGTATATGGTTTAACATTTGAAAGCTACCTTTTTATTCTTACTAATGAAAAGTTGAATTTGTAAGCAATAAAGCACACCTTTGCTTGATTCAATACATGGTTTTGCTGCTACAGCCTTAAGTTGACCAGTAGCATTTACTGTTTTCACAGTATAGTCGTGAAGGTACAGTGACTGCTAGTCAACAAAAGTTACAAAGGCTCACAATAAAGTACCACAATTAAGAAGCTGAGGTATGAAACTGTCTGGGGAAAAAAAAAAGACACGTACTTCAAAACCATTTAAACCATATAATCTTTTAAGTTGATATGCAAAACTTGATAACAGTTGGTTATTTACATATCCATCAGGTATGGAGCAACATCAGCATTAAAAAGAATTCATTAGGTGGGCAAGTGATGAACCACTTCTTTCAGTTCTGCTCTCCAACTTCTAAAGAAGTACATGACTCTTTTGGAGCTAAATGCGCCATTTGTTTAAGCTAGTCATAAACTCTTCCTCTCTGCAGTGCCCCCTGGTGGCTAGCTGCAGTATAGGTCACAAATCTGGCTGCAAAACGCGTCAGAAAAGGAAGGTGGCTGCCTTGTATTCACGACATTTTGGTTTCACTTTTGCAGTTCCAGAAAGTGGTAACGCATTGTCCATTTTTATATACAGTCTGTGGCCTGGATATGTAGCAGGTATCAGAGCTGTTTTCACTGAAAACTTCCACAACAATGATGCTACTACAGCGATGAGAGTGAACCGAAACAGTGAAGTTTCAGATCAGACAAACAAAACATTAAGTAAAGAGATGCATCTGAAGTGCTGTAGAGCTGAGGGGAAAAAAAATCATTTGGGTGATGTAGTTCATCAGTACAAAGAAATTACTATTTCATATGCAAGTAGTCATGTGACCCATTGTTAATAGGCACATACTGATAATTACAGCTTCAAGCAGACTTGTAATTTCATGGAAACATCTAGACATAAAACCCCTTAAAATGTTTTAGGACATTTTCCTCAAATAAGAGCTCTCAGCATTATTTCATTGGCAGAGTGTGGAATACCTGTAGGCAGGCTCATCACCTGCTGCAGTAACATCTCTCTCCCTCACTATCATCCATATCCTGTGGCACTGAGTTTATGGTGGATTAATAACAGAAACACCCTGGTAATAAAGAACACGGATTAACTGTTCTTTTAAACATAGAAGGGCAGGGCCACAGACAGTATGGTTATCATCATCATTATGTAACGACCAGCGGGGATCACTCATTAAAGTGTGAGTAGCATTTGTGTTCCACTCCTCATCTTCAGTGACTCTACCACCAAAATGTAGCGCTCTTAAAATCGATGCCCAGGAAAAACTAAACAAATACACGCAAACAATCTGAGTTGTTTCCCCAGTGGATTTCATGTATTTATTTACCTCCAATAGAGATGAAAACGCCCGTCTATTGCTCTGCAGAGTGGTGTAGCAGAGAAATGCACTTTGAACATTGACCAGAATGAAAGTTACATGTGCCAGTGTAATTATGGAAAAGGTACACAGACATTGAACAGAGATGAAGTTGCTTTTGACTTATATACAGACGAGTGACAAATAAATGAAAAACCTCAATGAGTTGCCTCTTCTAGGGCAACAAAACCCCCAGCCATAGGACACAAGGGGTCACTGAATGGTTTGGTGAGTCTGAAAATGATGTGGACATTTGCTGTGACCTTCACAGTCACCAGATTCCAACCCAGTTCAACACTTATGGAGGGTTTTGGATTGAAGTGTTAGACAGTGTCTCTACCACCACAATCAAAACACCACCTGAGGGAATATCTTTTAAAGGATGGTGTCCATCCCTCCAGTAGAGTTCAGAGATTTGGAGAGTAAAAGCCAAGGAGCACTGAAGCTGCTCTGGTGGCACACGGTGGTCTAACACCTTACTGAGACGATTTGTGTTGAGTTTTCCTTCCATCTGTCACCAATCTGTATATTCAATGATTTTCACATGTGAGAGATTATCTTTTTTTCCAAACCAAATTACAAAAGCACAGTTGTTTTAGACAACAAACCACTTTCTGGTTTAAAATACATTTACAAGGTAGTGTCACATACTTTCAGTCCACACATAACAAAATAACTTAAATACATTAGCTGGCGATGTTTCAAAACTCTAACAATCCTAAAAATAATCCACTAAACACAAGAGATCTGAGATCCCAAAATTACAAAACTACTGTGCAGACATAGCAGCTACTCGGTATGAGAAACTCAGTTAAAGCAAATGTGGGACCTGCATCCATTTTAAAATGTGTAGCTCCACAGTTGATAATAATGACTGATCTGTACCATGATTTAGCGGAAAACACACCTTGAACATTGACCAACAGCTTTTCTGCTGCATAAATCAAGTCTGAGCATTAAAACAAAATAAAAAACACACAGCAGTTGGAAGCACTGAAAAGCACACAAGTCAAAATAAAACTCATTAAAATCTCAGAGACAATAGCCATATTTACGTTTTACACAATATCCCCACTTTACTGTACTATACCTGCTCTGTGAATCTGATGACTTTTCATTTTACTATTACAGCTACTGGTAAACAGTTTTACTCAGGTAGTTTCACCAAGTACAGTTTAATTCTGTGGTGCGCTATTCTCTGTTGTTTTGCAAATATAAATATGCATCTTTCATCGATCTAGAATCAGGAAACCAGTTGTTCCTATTAAACTGAAAATAGTTAAAAAATCACACATTAAACTGTGCACAGCAATTATATCACACCCAAACCCAACTGAATAGGTGAAGTAATTAAGAGCAAAATAAAAGCCACTGCTGCCTTGGTTCTTCTCATAGTCAGACCTGAGCCCACATTCAATTTGAGATCCATACTTCACTACAAAAACATGTAGTCAATTAATGACATTGTTTAGACTTAACATATTAGTTTTCATCACAACATGCAGAAGACTGCTTCTATAAATCCATGTGATTTAGATGACACCCAACCATTTTCCAAACATACCACAGGAGATTATAAACTTTTTCTATTTTCAAGCTGGCCAATATTTAGGCTCTTTTCTAAAGCATTAAAGTCAACTTGCACATACCCACATGCCCACAAATGTTCACTTTTGCTTTCCATTGCTAACCAAATCTAAAACCCAAATTAAACACAATAATATACCCTGGAAAATGAGCAGCTGTCATCTGTATGGATTATTTGAAGTAGGTTAAAACTTGAAAAATCACTAGTGGTACTCTAAGCTGAGACTGAAACTCAGTGGGATTTTCAATTGAAATTTGACTCTGATCTGACTCATGCTTACCATAGTAACACTGCTTCTAATCTACATGTTGAAATTGACAATTAATAAAAGAAAATGTGCAAATCAGTTTACACACTGACTTTATGAACGGCTGTCGTCGGGCCTCTTGAGCACTGCACTGTATTTCATGGGTGCACTGTCGGCTTTGAGCTGCACTTCCACTAAGCTGAACACTGAAATCACCTAGAGAAGAAACAACACATGGCGAACAGTGACGTTAACACTCAAAATGACTGGTGTCAAAACACATCCCAACCACCTAACCCTTAACACCACTAGCTAGTCTTTTTGCTGTTACTTTTTGGAAGGGAGAACACATTGGAGACGGCATAAAGGCCATAACGCCTTAAACAATATTGTACTAACATTATTTAGGGCTGCCCCCTAATAGTCGAGTCATTAGTCGAGAGATCTTTCAGTCGACTTGGACTCTTCGAGTCGAGCCTTTGTTTTTATTTTATTTTATTTTTTTTGTCAGCTAGTGTGCATTACAATAGAAAGCAGCCCCACCGTGCGTTAGTTTGTCATCTTCTTCTCCTCGTTTTGGTTTGCTAAGCAGCAACTGGCTCAATGTTTCCCCGTGGTCATGGGTTGGGGTGCGCATGTTGGGGGGGGATTCCCACTTCAACCATGACACTGTCCGATGCATGGATGTACATTAAGGTCAGATCTATTTAGCAAAGACTTGAACGGTGGCGACGATGTGGGTGGTTTTGCATAGCCTAATGTTATGTGGCTCCGGTTTGTTTATACACCTCTGTTAAAGTGCAACGCGCAGCTGTTTACCGACTGTTTCTGCAACATGCATCCATCTGAACGGGACCTGGAAGCTAACAAAAAAACATTTCAAACTAGGCTATAACCATGTCTCAGAAGAAAACCTGCCTATAAGAGCATTGTTTCAACAGAAGTGTGCTGCTGTCTCATTATTCTGCCAAATCCATATAGAAGCCCAGCAATATATATTGTCAATTTAAATAGGTCACAATTTTACCACTGCATCATATGCAGCTGTCTTTATTGATTTTTAAATGCTCAGAAATATGTGCTCACTCTTTTTGCATTTAAATATCAATGTTAATGTGGTCGAAATTCTCACCTAAATTCATGCAAGTTGATTTCCTGACATCCTACTATATATAGTCGCACTGACGAGCTGGCTGACAAAATCCTTAGTCGGGTACAGACCTACCATTATTATTAGTTCAGTATTTCTGTACTATCACACATTGTATTACTGTCATCTTGAAGTCATTTCAAATATATTATTAAACCTGAAATTAATTTCTACATTACTCTTAATATTAAGTCCTATTATCCCATTGACAGGCCACACCATAATACAAGTATTTTCATTGGCTGTGGTTCTCACCTGTTCTAGTGGGGGTTTCTCTGGCTCCTCCTGTGTCCAAACCAAAGTCAGCTCTGATATTTTCCCTACCTTGCGATGGTGGAATGATTCCAGGCCTGTGACAGACTGAAGTAGGAAAACAAAGAGTTTCAGAAACTGTCACTTGACCTACCACTGTGGTGACCCACTGCTACCAGTATCACTCTCTGGCTTGGCTAATTTCTCTCTCTCCTTTTCTGTGTAAATAATAGTGTGCTTGTGTGAGACGAAGACAAACAAGACACTACAGTATGTGTGCACACTTTAGTATAATATTGAAACTGCAATTTATTTCTGTAAACCAAACTGATTGCAGCTGAAAATCTCAAAGCACTACTACTATATTAAGAGTGAAACTGTTTCCTGTAAATGGAGTGTATGGCAGCTGACCTTGCAGTAGATGCGTTTTTGCACTCCGTAGCGGATGACCAGCACATCGAAGGACTGATCCAGCACCCCCATCACCATGGCCTCAGAGTCCAGGGGGCCACACTCCTGTGGAGAACAGACCAAGAAAATTCTTCTGTGTACTGACAGTATGTTTCTGATCTGATCTGAAGGAGCAGGTTTAAACTGTGGATGATTTAACAATGTAGATATTTAGTTGAATTGCCAGAACTTATTTTCTTTAGAAGAAAACAGATAAACTCCAAATCCTTGACCACCCAGAATCAAAACCATATTGCACTGCCACTATCCCTCCATCCACAGACCAAACACTTGTGATGGGTATTTAATGAAAAAGCTAAATATTCTAGAATGCACTGCGGATACAGTGACTCTTCAACTGTCTTCCTGACCTGGAGAGCTGAACCAAAACCTGAAGAGCCTTTATTTGATCTACCTTCTCTGACAGCTCCTCTGCAGTCCAAACTTGGTTGTTTACAATCCTATCTGACTCTGTTTTATTATTTAACAACCATGTTTCCAGGTTTCTGCAATGCTTCCTTCACTTGAGGACAATATCTAAAATTACAGTGTCAATATTTAACTGCTGTCGATCTATCAGGTCAGCCACAGCCTCATTCTGCTTCCTTGGCCTGCTGCAATTCTCTTTACTCTGCCTTCAGCCATTTGTCAATTGCTCACCTGCCGTTCATCCAAACTCCTGCAGCTAGACTTTTAACAAAGCCCTACTTACATCTTATACATGGTCAGGGCTCCACTTATACTCCTGATACACCAATCCCTTCTGAACCACAGCACAGCGGTGTCCTCACTGTTCTATGGAACTCGCTACCCGAGTAGTGACTCTGTAGCCTTTCTTAAAATCGTTTCTTAAAACTCATTTTTAATCACATAGATTTCCTTAAATCTACAAGTACATCTAATAAATGTGTCTGTATTTCTGTTTGGGTCTTATTATTTATGCCTTCATTCTGTCCTCTTGCTTTGACAGTGCAGCACTTTGTAACTTGTCAACAGCATGTTGTGATCTGGTTACCCACCTTTACAAACACTCCAAAAAAGAGCTCCGAGCTGAGCTCATGGACTCTCTTGGACAGCGTCTTTTTGTCATTACAGTGGGATGCCTGTTTTTCCACTTCTTCTGTTGACAGTTCTAAATGAGGCCCACACCCTGTATGCAAACACCCAGTGGCCAGACATGAAAATGAGCATAGGGGAAAAATAATTATTCACATTTCACTGACAGACACAAAGTAGAAAGTATAGAACTTAGCACCAAGTCTGAGGATGCTTTGCTTGTTCTACTGCATTTCTCTCTACATGGACCAAATATGTCCTGAACACAACTGAAGAACTGTCCATAAGAAGGCATTCTGTCATTTGTTTAAAAGGTGTGTATTTACAGCCTCTCTGTGATCAAGGTACGCACTCAGAGATGAAGCCAGTAGCCGGTGCACAATGATGTCAGCATAGCGTCTGATGGGAGAGGTGAAGTGTGTGTAGAGAGGAACATTGAGGGCATAGTGCTTGAACAACTGCTCATCCTTCCAGACACCTGAACAGAAGTACAACGCCATCTGGGAAACACCAACAATCCACATTAAGCACAGAATCTAATCCTACTGTATATGCTCACAGAATCTAACCTGAGAGTTCAATGTTACTGTAGGAGACTCGTGTTAAAAGTGGCTTTAAAACTCTCAGTCCCACAAAAATAAACTATTTACAGAAGGGATGTAACAATACCAAAAATTCACATTACGATACTGCCACAATACGATATTTGTCACAATATTAAAAAAGAAAAAAAGATGATAAAATGCCTTTTACTAAATAACAGCGTTTGTATAATGTATATAAAAGACAATGCAGCATTCAGTAACAGTCCTTTTATGAGATAAATAGGCTGATAATACTGCAGTAGCTAGATTCAAATTTTAGAAAAAATGTCTCAATAAGCTCACACCACCATATGCATTATATCTCCTTATATTTTCTTACACCACTACTTGGCAGGTTTAAATTTCCCTGTTTGGTGGCTGCGCCCCGTGGTCGGGTTCTCAGTAGGTTACTGGCCCAGTTGAAGCGGGTGTCCCCCTGACTCACCAGGGGCAGTAGTGAGCAAACTGCTGCTTGGCAAACCAGATGAAAAAGGAAATGCCAAACTACACCAGGACAAGGCACAAAAAGGAGTCATTTCTTGAAATGGGAAAACTGAAATGCTGCCACACAGCAGCTATAAAAGTCGACGATGGAGCATTTGCTGTCAGTTCAAATTCTGTGACCTGGATGTTATACTAGCAAAATAACCATATATAGATACTGTCATAGTCCCGCGACTTTATCAAGACATTTTTCTATCATGATATTACAAATATAGTTACATCCCTGATTTATAGGCAATGTTTTTCTTTCATGGCAACAACTATTACAAAACAGTGGATGTCACATTTTCTCATCGTGAAGTTATTCTCACTCTTCACTTTACGTACATGTATTCCACTCAAGAAAACAGACAAAAGTTCAAACAGAATAACATAAAATGCATCATATTTTAATATGAAGATAGAAGGTGCCTTTCAGCAGTGGGTGCTGAGCTCTAACCTGCATGGGTCTGGAGCACATGTGGGTGAGGACTTGTTGTCTGGCACTGGTGTACTCATCATCACCAAGAGTAGCAGTGAGACTCTTCTGCAAAGAAAAAAAATGAAAAGATAATTCAGCCGTCAATATGTGTATGTTTTGCATCACTTGAGTAAGTCAAGTGACTAAAAGGTTTGGTCAGGTCCTTATTGAACTTTGGATCCCTGCTGACATGCCTCAAGTCCTAACTCCTTGTCAACACCACATTTCCATCTTTGTGTGATCACGCAAGAGAGCTAGAAAACATTAGGAGGTGCTGAAACAGTTTCATGTTGTGACACATGGACAGTTCATTAAATGTAATGCAGTAATTACTGATAATGAATTTACTCACTTGAAGGCACTTAAAGATCAACATTTTCTAAATGTTCCTGAGAGAGCAGACAACACATCTGCATATTGAGTACTAACATGCAATGCTCCTGCAGAGGACAGGTCGATATTGATGCCCAACTGGTCACACAGCTCCTGTAGCTCATCCATCATCTTGGCTTTTGGCGGAGGGTGCCGCCTGAGCAGGGCCAGCTCAGGGAACTTGCGGCAGATGTGGTGAGCTGTGGCAATGTTAGCTAGTAACATGAACTCCTCCACCAACCTAGAGAATAATTATGGGTGACGGTTAAATGGCTACAGGAGGGAAATGAGAAAAGGGGAGTAATGGGGACTGATATTTATGCACTGCTGACTGACCAATTAATGCATTTCACCAAAAGTTACACATCTGTCTCATCGAATTCATGTCCATTTTAGAAGAGAAACAGAACAAACACATAGACAGAGATGCATCTGAGGAAGGTTTGTTACTCACTTGTTACTGTCTCTGTACTGGTAAATATAGCAGCCTTGAGGCATCATGGTCTCTTTGTCCAGGGTGAAAGAGAGTTTCATCTGAAACAAAAAACAAAAAAAGGAAGAAAGCTAACAATCTGAATAACCTAGTTTCCATATTAAGTCTCTTCCAGATAGCTCTTAAAAGTTCTTGCCCTATTTCAAGTGAATCCTAACTATGAAACAAAGCCATTGTTCTGCCTCTGGTCCGCCTTGGGAGGTAGTACAAGAGGCTAAACAAAGGGGAGACACACTCTGTGTAGAAAGGGTGAGCCAGCAGTCCAGGACCAAGTCCTACATTTTGATGATGTTATATGTGCGTGATCACCGGCATCTCAAGTCTGCATGCCTCTCTGCCTTGAACTGTTCTTGGCTTCTCTCCAACTTACAGATTAAAGTATTTGTGATGCCATGAACGCATTGCAGTTATTACTCATGACAATCACACACACATCAAGAACCATGCTAATCAATTTTGCGTGAAGTTAAAAAAAAGGTGTGAAAACAGCTTTAGAAAAGACAGCAGGTGGCACCAAATAGTCAAACACCAGGTATGTTTGTCTGACCTGGTCCAGTCTGAGGGCTCCGCCTGTGAAACGTTGAGCTCGGAGGTTCCTGGCAATAGAGTGCAGGTTGAGCACAGCCTGGTGGATCTCATCAATGGGATGCACAGGATCCACGGGTGGCAGTTCCGCTGCAGAGAACATCTTGTCGGGAGCCTCGATCATGCTCTGAGCATAGTCGTAGCTCAGCTTCACACAGGAGCGGATCACGGAGCGGCCAAACCATTCACTCAGGATCTGGAGGTCAGACAGGTGAAGTGACACCAATGAGATGAAAACAGGAAAAAAGGAAACACTAAATGCCATGACTGTGGCAGCAGGAGCATCAAGATTCACTTTCAATTTAAACAGCCATCACACTTTCAATCACTTTCTACTTAATTTTATATTGTTTGAGTGCAGCTCTCACAGGCCGATGAATTGTAAAGGCTCTTACCTTCCCCTCGGGGGTGATTTTCCAAATGACAGAGAAAGTGAGTCTGTCGGCAAGAGGGTTCAGACTGCACAGCTCTTCGCACAGCAGCCTAGGTAACATGGGGATCACCTGTAGAGACACATGGACACACTGAGTACTGAAGAAGAAAATGAAAAGTTAAATTTTAATCTGTAAGAAGTCAGCCAAATAACACAGTAGTAGAGTGTGAGTAGTAGCTCAGCTAGTATCTTTAAGTATGATACTATGAAGTTAACTATTAATAATATGTGCCAGTGAACACACACCTTTTGAACCAGGTACACACTAGTGGCTCTTTGGCTGGCAATGGCATCCAGGGCGTTGCCCTGATCCACGAAGTAACTAACATCAGCAATGTGAACTCCCACCTCAAAGTTTCCTGTTTTAAAAATTAAAACAGTCTTTGAATAAAACAGCCCATCATCCTATTAAAAACATCATCAGCCATATCTAATCAGAAATCATCTTCATCGTTAGAGTGTCACACAGCAGTTTACCATCTGGGAGTTGTTTACAGGACAGAGCATCGTCCAGATCT